TTCCAAATCTACCTGAAACCCCATTTGCACTTGCCAGAAGCCCATTCACAGTCAAAGTTGAAGATGTTTCTGAGACAGCACAAGAGGAGTTCATTGAACTTATTAACAATGATGCAGCTACACCTGATTTCTCTACAATGCCAGTTACAAAATTCTGGATCAAGTGTTTGCAGTCATATCCTGTTCTGTCTAAGACTATGTTGCGCCTTCTTCTTCCATTTTCAACAACATATCTTTGTGAAACAGGGTTTTCCAGCTTGTTGGTTATCAAGTCTAAATACAGAAGTAGACTTGTTGTGGAAGATGATCTTGTTGTGCTCTTGCAAAGACTGCCCCGAGAATTTCTGATCTGGTGAGAAAGAAGCAATCTCAACCTTCACACTGACGTTGGCTTTTTACGCATACTGTTGCAAAATGTAGCAATGTAGTTTACTGTTGTTATATTAAAACTGTTACCCATGCTACACCATGCTTCAAGACAAAATTTCATTTATTTGTAATTAGAAATAAATATTTCACAATATATAATTATGTATTGTTTTTGTGATTAATCACTATGCTTTAATTATGTTCAATTTGTAACAATGAAAATACATCCTGCATATCAGATATTTACATTATGATTCATAACAGTAGCAAAATTACAGTTATAGAGTAGCGACGAAAATAATTTTATGGTTGGGGGTCACCACAACATTAGGAACTGTATTAAGGGGTTGTGGCATTAGGAAGGTTGAGACCTACTGCACTAGAGTGTCTTGGCTGGAAAGGAAGGAAATTTGAGTCCAAGCTGGGGAAACACAGAGGGTTTAATGGACTAGTGGCTAGAAGTAAATATGAAGAAACTAAGAATACTGGAAAAATAGCGTTTTCAAGAACCGAAGTAAAAGAATGGAAGATTTCAGGTTTTGTTTGTTTGTTTTTAACTGGTTCTAAGAACACTTCAGCCTCTCCCTCCATTTTAAATCCCAAGAAATAACAGAACAAATATAAAAACTGTAACCATGTTATTTAACAAGACCAATCCAAGGATTGTCATTGATGAACTAACTTTATGTGGTTGACCACTATTCCTTTAAAACTTATTAAGTGAGGGAAATAGTTCTGCTGCCCCCTTGAGATCTCTAGCAGGTCTCCATGACTACTTTGGTCTCTCTTACAAAAAAGACACTCTTATGTTCACTTGAAATCACAAAACACAGTCTGAATATTGAATTACTATGACCAATTCTTTGTAAGAATTATGGTTCTAAAATTGATTAAAATAAAAGTTCCTCCTCTCCTATAGTTCGGGTCAGCCTCAGGCAAGCCTCTTGACACCTGGAAGAGGAGATGGCGTTAGTTTGTTTTCTCTCTTTGTTTCTTCCCTGTCAGTGTGCTTTTCATAGCTTACGTAAGTCCCCTTGAGGGCTAGGGCACAAAGCGAAAGGAAAGGAAAGGGGGCACAGACAGTTCTCATTTGACTGATACTGTTATAAGTGATGCCATGCTCTCTAGGCTTTGAAAGTGTTTAAAGAGGACTCTCACGAGCATTCGTAGGTTCCTTGGTGGTTTATCCGCTTGCCCGTGCTGTGATAAATTCATGTTCTTCAGTGGCTCCTGCTGCTTGCCCTCTGGATTTTTCAGTCTATTCGCACAGACCCTCTCTTGAAAAGGTGTCTCCTTTTCCTTTGGCAGAAGCACTAGAACGTTTATTAAATGGCCCTTGGCTGATTTTCCAAGAGTTCCACACCTCACCCCTGATGAGCACGCAGCTTTGGCTTGTGTGAGAGGGGAATGCAGTTACTTCTCAAAGCCGAAGCATCTCTGTGTGTCTTTGTGCTTCCTCCTCAGGCTAATCGCAATAGGATGTGATTCTCTACTGTCCAATGGCCTTGGTCAGAACTTCCAATTTCAAAACCAGTTACTATAAATAAATGTATTACAGTGTTGTAAAACAACTAAAGGTGCTCTTGGTAGGCCAGAAATTAAGGGCATCCTTGAAGGTTAAAAAGTAGATGGGCTCAGTTTGAGGGAGGAAGCAAAGCTCAAAACAAAGGAATGAGAGGATTATTGAAAAATGAGAGTTGCTTTAGGGGTGCTAAAAATTCAGAATGACTGTATAAGGGGAGTTAGACAGAGGCAGTGGAACTATCAAGAATATTGATTTGAGCACAAGTAGCCAGAGAGCTTAGCTCCTCCCCACTTCCTGGTTAATGCCAAGTAGTGGATGGCACAAACACACACTTCTCATATGATCTAGCTTTTCCACTCCCAGATATTTACCCAAGAGAACTGAAAACATATGTCTGTACAAAGACTTGTATGTGAGCCCTGACAGCAACATTTTTCATAAAAGCTAAAAATTGAAAACAATTCAGATGTCTATCAATTCATTGATAAATGGATAAACAAAAAATGCTAAATCTATACAGTGAACACCTATCAGCAATAAATAGGAATTAACACCTGATACATGCAAAAACATGGATGAACCTCAAATTATTACGCTAAATGAAAGAAGCCAGACACAAAAGACTACATATTGTATGATTGTAGATATATGAAATGTCTGAAAAAGACAAAATTATAGAGACACAAAGAAAATCAATGTGTGCCTGAAAACAGAGTGGGAGAGGGGATTGAGTGCAAACGGACATAATGAAATTTTAGAGGATGATGAAAGAGTTCTGAAACTGATTTTGGGCATCAACTGCTAGAGGTTGGAGTGATTGAAGGAAGTCAAAACACTTCAAGAGTAAGATTTGAATATAAGTATTGAATCTGTCTAGAATGACTATGGAATTCTGGTGGAGGGTAAGACTGAGGGGGAATTTCTGGGAGATAGGATAATGATAGCAACAAGGAGCACTGAGGGATGAAATTAATGCTGTGAACCTTGAAGAAGGAAGTGCTTTTATACAGGAGTGGAAGAATAATGGTTAAACTGACAAAGAGAAAGGTAGAAAATATAACACCTTCTCTTAGGTCTTTGTGTTGTGGGGTGTAAGAGGCTGAGCAACCCCTTCTCAATGGGGGGGTGATAGTCAAAATGGTATAAGTAGGTAGCTAGTGAAAGCAAAGGTGAGGCACATTCAGTAGGGGAATACAAATATATTTATAGAGAGGGTATGTAAGAGTTAGGCTTGTTTCTGTTTGACTCCTGCATGGGATGGTGGGCTATGCCCACCCGCAACTAAGATTGAACACAGCACCTTGAGCAGAGCAGCCGTGAGCTGCCGACAGGCAGCCGGATGGCGACGGGACTTGGAGCTGAGCTAGCTGCGCCCTCCACAACTAAGACTGAAGGACAACAACTTGGCTGTTCCCCCTCCCTAGTTCCCCAACACTGTTTCTCTTCCTCAGTTCCCCAATAAAAAGAACAAAAATAAATAAAATAAAAAAGAATTAGGCTTGTATTTGATAGTATGTAATAGAATCTTGACCTAGATTAATCAAATGGAGAATTTATCTTTTAGAATAATTTTTTATTTTATAATTACAGTTGACATACAGTATTATATTAGTTTCAGGTGTGCAGCATAGTGATTAGATATTTATATAACTTATGAAGTGGTCACCCTGATAAATCTAGTACCCATCAGAAATAGGGAATTTCTTGATGTTTTGAAATTAAGTCTAAGAATAAGCATTTCAGGGTTGGTATTATAGCTTCATGAGGTCATCAGGGAAGGATTCTGCTTGCTTCCTGTGACAACATTCTTAGAATGTGGTTTTTGACTTCCTGGTATCAAGATGGCTTCTTTAATACAAGACATCATGACCCAGTTATAGACAGGAAGAAGAGAAGGAGAAGGGCAAATGTGTATGCCAACTTGAGCCTAACTCTTTTAATAGTAAAACAATAATTTTCTTAGACTCTGAGGTAGACTTCCATGTATATCTCATTAGCTAAAACCATATCAAATGACCACTCCTAGCCTTAAGGGAGTCTGAAAAAAAATCATAATTGTTTGATGTGGGGCACATAGATATTCCAAGTAAAATTGGTATTCTGTTAGTGAAGAAGGAGAGGTAATAAATTTTGGATAGGTAATAAGTGAATGTCAGAGTATTCATTTATTATAATATTGTGTTTTCTGAAAGGTACTTAAGAAGGTTTTTACAAAGATATTAACACCAGTTAAGCTCTCTGGCTACTTGTGCTCAGACCAATATTCCTGATAGTTCAATAGCAAAGTTTCATAAAAGTATTAGAAATAAAGCAAAGGAGAAATAAGAATAAGATTATAAGACAGAGGTGGAAGTGGAGTTCATTCACAAAATTGGCTCTAAACTTTCTAACAGCCAATTTAAAGAGGAAAACACTTTAAAGGAAACTCAGTGTCCTTGAGAAAAGGGTTTGTTGTTTATTTGTTTGGTTGGTTGTTGGGGGAGCACTCCAAAAGGCATAATAAAAAAGGAGTAGCGTGGCTGGGCCACAACCAGAGGGAGAGTGATTTACTGGGGAGAAAGTACAAAGCAATAGAATGACAGCAATCCTTTCAAAGACAGGATGGAGTGTAAGTGTTGGTGGAGGAGGGAGATTGTGATTTGCAATTGTGAGAGTGATTGAGGATGACCTGGATTAGAAGGCTTTTAGGATTAATTGGCTTTGAGATTCAAAATGGCCCCAGACTAAGTTCTCAGATGATGTCAGACCTGATGAGGCTAAAGTCTGTGCCTCTGTCAAGAGCTTTTAGCCTTTGCTCCTAATAAAGATAGAACAGTGCATGGTAGGTGTTGTGAGCTCTTGAAGAGAGATCTGGCCAGAGGGGAGTGACATGGTTCCTCTCGTTGAGTGACTGAGAGGGAAGAAGGCAGGAAGATGTGTCAATTCTAGGAAACTCACTGTCAGTGTAGTTGGGGCCCAATGTGACTTGAAGGCTACAGTTTCCATTTAAGGAAACTATAAACTCTACAGTATGCAAGTAGTACCCACAACCCTAAAACTGTCTCTCCACAAACAAAAGTTAGTGGATACTTGGCACCACTTCCATATGTGATAAGAAGTGCTATTGCATCTAAGAGGTGGCCATCTTCTTCATTCATTCACCTGTGTGTCTTTTTTTTTTTTAATTTCAGCAATAGATTCTAAATGAATAAGAGATTTGTTTTTAAAATTCCTAGGATCTAGCACAATGCCGGATAAATAAATAATAGTAAATAAACATGGCTTAATAAATAAACATTAAGTTCTTTGTAGTTTTTTTATCTTTTATTTTTATCTTTTATTTGCTTCTCATAGAATTTTAAAAATATTTAAAAGAATTAATTTTTAAAAATACTAGTAGAAAAGCTGTTTCTAGAGCTAAAAAATTTGGAATGTCAGATTATTTTGGGCAAACAAATAAAACAAAAATAATTTCAATC